ATTTGATTTGGTGTTTGTTTTAAAATTTCAGTTTAGTTTTGTCATATTTTAATTTCACAAAGAAACGTGCAGCAATAGCCTAATAAAAGGACACCTAGCTTCTCATTTACTGTATGTCTTCAATCTCATTTTGTTAAAAAAAAAAACGTGATAAAATCAAATCGTGAATCGAATCAAATCGTGAGTTGAGTGAATCGTTACATTTTTCCCAAGCCATTGTTAGATGCCTGTGTTTCCTGTCATAACTATTTGATTTCAAATACAGTATCATAGCTATTAAACTATATCTGGTTTTGGTTTTTAATCTGTATTCAACCTCAGAATGATCTCAAAGTAAAAAGTGGTTCTAAAGTCTGATTTTGTGGTGGCTGTGCTTTAACATTAAATTATTATAATCTTAATTTGAAAGTGACAGTAATCAGTGTTGAATACTACTGTAAGGTTAACCCTGCCTGGCTTACATGTTTGAAAATGATTAATAGTTGAAAACATTAGAAATTTAGGGAAGTAATCCGTTACATTAATAAAGTAATAGTTACACTACTTATTACATTTTAGATAGGGTAACTTGTAATCTGTAACCTATTACATTTCCAAAGTAACCTTCTCAACACTGTGTATTAGTCACAACATGTTTTGCAAATCCGTTTTCTAATACAAAATAAATATGTAAAATATTTGTATTTAGAAAAAAAAATGTCTTAATAAAAGTAGTCACTACTTGGGCCACATGTTTGGAAAATTATATTTAAACCCACTGTATTTCAAATAAGAGCTAAAACTAATAATACCATTGCTTCAGAACTAATAAATGTTTGGTCCGAGTCAGAGAAGAGAATGAGGTCTTTAATTTTGAACTAGTTTGATTTGACTAAAAACCATCGTTTGCACAATCTGTGTAGTTTCTAGATCAAGACCGGCTCGTTTCTGCATCTTCAAGCGGGGCTGTGACGATCTTTAAGCTTCAGCCTGACTGTCAGGTATGTGCTTTGTTTGTTTGTCTGATAAATGTCATTATGCACACAGCACATCTGACCATTGTGACTGGCGTTTAGGCTCTGTCGCTGGCTCATGTGTGGGAGAGGGCTCATGGATATTCCTGTGATAATGCACCCTGCACTGCAGTAGTGTGCAGAAGCCCTGAACTAGTGTCAGTGGGTGAGGACGGCCGAGTTATTCTTTACAAGGCAGATCAGACTGAAGTTGTCCGTGTTATTGGTAAGTGTTTTCTGGCTTTCTTTGTAGCATAGACAAAGATCTCGTACGGTTTGATATAAAATCATAGTAGGGTTGTGTCGGTGAGGAAATTTTCCCACTGGTTAATCGGCGTTTGACAACACCGGTAATACCGGTATCACCGCGGGGGCGTTCCCTCTTTTCCTCACTTTCCTTCGCTTTTAAATAGCTTGTAAAAGCGGCGTGCCCATTTTACTTTCACTTTAAAATAGCGGCAATTCGGAGTAAAGCAATTGTTCGTTTTTAGTTCGTTTGAATTTGTAACCGCTGTTGCGGCTTAACACCGGTATCACCGTCAACACCGTCTATTGCGGCAAGCCTAAATCATAGTTGTGTTATAATTTACCCTCCTGTCATGTTCCAAACCTATGTGACTTATTTCTATCCATGGAACACAAAAGATGATGTTTTCCGTACAATGGAAGATCTGGATGGTGACCAGTTGCTTGCTAGTTCCAAAAAAGTACCATATGACTTCCGGGTCTGAAGAATATCATAGGTTTGAATGCGGAACAACAGCCCTTCTCTTTTCTCCTTCCCATCAAGGTTACATGTAAATGATGAATTCTGTTCCTCACACAAAGCTGTGGTATGGATTCAGAAGACGTAGACCATAGAGCAGCAGTCATGGACTTGTGTTATGGTGCTTTTTGAAGCTTTACTGATTTAATATTCATTCCTTCTCTCAATGGACGAAAGCTTTGAGGTTCTGCTGAATTGTTGTGTTTCACTCAAAAAAGCAAGTCGTACATCTTTGGAATGATATGAGACCGATCAAGACAGAATTTACATTTTGGGGTTAACCCATTCTTTAATTACATTTGACCTGTAATGCATATTAATAGGACTGTGTTATTGCCTTTCAACAGAAAATGCAGATAGCAGTACGATTCATGCCGTGACGTTTCTGAGGACGACTGAGGTCCTCACTGTTAACTCCATCGGTCAGCTGAAGATGTGGGACTTCAGACAGCAGAGTGACAGTCCTGCGCAAATTCTCTCTCTGTATGATTCACTCATACTAGTTTAAGAAACCATAATTAGCATTGGATTCATTTGAATCTCCAGAAAGCTGAAGAACATGTCCGTTCACACCAGAATCAAAAAAATCTTATTTTGCATGAAAAAAAAAGTATGTTTTCTAGGACCATTGTGACTTTTTCATTATTTTCCAAATCCTCATTACAGTTCTTAATATTCTCAAGATCTGCTTTAACAAATTGCTTTTTACCTGTTCAAATAAACACATTATTGATAGATTTTCCTGCCAGTGTTTTAACTTGTGTGTTTTAAGAAATTACCTTATTTGCCAGCATTTTGAGTCCTTTTGACATTCATCTCAATATCAAAAATTGGTCTGAATTCTCTCTATCTAGAACATATGTGACCTTGGAGCACAAAACCAGTCATAAGGGTCAATTTTTCGAAATTGAGATTTATACATCATCTGAAAGCTGAATAAGCTTTCCATTGATGTATGGTTTGTTAGGATAGGACAGTATTTGGCCGAGATACAACTATTTGAAAATCTGAGCTGTGTAAACGCTTGTAATAGACGTTAAGAATAATTTTGACCTCACAATGTTTAAAAGGATGGTTCACCCAGAAATGACAATGCTTTTATAATTTACTCACCTTTAAGTTTTTCCAAACCTGTGTGAGCTTCTTTCTTCTGTTGAGCACAAAAGAAGCTAGTTTGATTTTTTTTTTTTTTTTATAGAAGTAGGGAAATAAAAATATTATGGAAGTCAGAGGCTACCATCAACTGTTTGGTTACCAACATTCTTCAGAATATCTTCCTTTGTGTTCAGAAGAAGAAAGAAATTCATACAGGTTTGGAAAACCTTGAGGGTGAGCAAATGATGACAGAATTATCCTTTTAATTCAGTAGATGTTTAACAAATAAATATGCTTTGACTCATATTTCCACTGTTGTTAAAAACTCCTTCTTCCACCTCCGTAATATTGCACTTTATTGATCTTCTCTCACTCTAAACACTGGCAAGAAAGTTAACAGGTATTGCAGTATTCATGAATGAGGCCAGTTTAAATGAGCAATTTATTATTAATACATTTATATATTTATTATATCATAATAAGGACAAAAAAATGAACAATGTTATCCTATGCACATGAAATATGTCAAATCTTAAATGTCAAAATCCTGATAATTAGTCAGAAGCTTTTGCCACTGATTCTGATCTTTTTTCTCCACAGTGTGGGAAGTACATTTTCATCCATCAAACCCCAATCACTTATTTACATGCTCGGAGGATGGATCTCTGCTCCACTGGGAGACGACGTCAGGATCAGACATGAGCACACTCCTACAGAGTAAGCTAAGGCTCCATCACAACTATAATAATACTAATAACAATCTGATTTTTATCTTGAAAGTTTTTATCGTTCCGATTACTATCTGATTTAGTATGCACATTGCATTTGTACTTGACCATGTAAATGTGTCTCTGCAAAACAATAAAAGGTACACACTTGTTACACGTTATATGTACTTACTATTATAATAACAGTAAATTATGCATAATTACATGCAAGTAATCCTAACCCTAACCATATAGTAAGCACATGTAGTTAATTATTATTACTCAGTACTTAAATGTATAATTAGACTGTAACAAGGACGCCTTAAAATAAAGTGTAACCCAAATAAAATGTACTATTCCCATCCCATCTCATTCATGATTGTGACAAATTTCCACATGCTGATGTAGATCCATTTGAAAAGTAGGAAAGTTACCATATTTAACAACCAGATGGATTTATTAAACCTGGCCAAGTCATGTCTTCTATGCCATGTACACACTGCAGCTACATTTGGTTGTCAGTTGACCTTTTAGTGCTTAATCCTGCACACAAACAGTTAAGTAATTTACGGGAGTGACAACTGCATTTGCAGAAAGCCTGTGCAGTGTGTATGGAACCAAACTAAGCAATTAGTTGTTAATGACATATCTAAATGAGTAGCATAATTGTCTCTCTTCTGTATGCACAGTGCAAGAAATCTCAGTAAACGAGGTATGTTTTGACTCATTTGTGTTGCCAGGTCTTGGTATAAAAAGCACAAGCTCATAATAAATATAAATCCAAACGCGTCATCTTGGAAATAAGCCACATACCAAAACATTGCAACCTGCACCTGCCTACTTTATTAACTCCATAAACTGGATCGCTTTATGAGCTGAGACCAAACAACAAGCCCAAAGATGTGTAACAAATGTTGCTGATAGTAAGTGGACATGGCAACACTTAATGAGCTCACTCTGCAGAGCAACTTTCTAAACCTTAACAAAACACAACGGCTCGGTCTACTGTGGATTAGTTCAAAAATCGGCAAACATAATAGGCTTCTTTGGTCAAAAATAGCGGGTACTATATGTTGCTATGGTGTCAGTCATCACAATTTTGAGTTCTGTTTTGTACACACACAAAACTATCATTTAGGGGATTCACTCCCGTATTTTAATGCGGTTGTCATTCCTGAAACTTTACAGTGTGTACATGGCCAGGGATTTAAAGTCCTGTAAAAATCTATTTTCTATTTTCATTCGCCCCCTTTCCCATGTTTCTTGTGATCACAAGTGTCTTTTTTTAAGCTTAGGTTTGGTCAAGGCAAAAGTAGTACTTCTGAAGGTGCATAAAGCTGCCGTTTCATCAAAGCTTTTGTTCCTTGGTTTGTTTTTCTCATATTTCACACAATGAACTTTCTAGGATTCAGTCCTGAAGTTGTATAACACTTATGCATAAGAAGTAAAGCTAAACCGGTTGGTCTGAGCTAGATATGGGCTACTAAAGCTACTATGACTATGAAGGTTTAATTCTAGTCAATATACACAGACTTGACTCATTTTATTATCTTCATCTCATTTTCTGATACCTGGTTTGTTTCAGGGGGCTGGAACAGCAGGGTCGTCTCGCATAGTGGCGTACCGCTGGCAGGGGAGAATGACTCTGTGGTCAGCGCCTGGCTTGCTGGGGACTCCAGCAAAAATAGACTGGAGGCAACTCATATGCTGCCCAGCCAGACACTGTCTGTGAACAGCCTCGATGTGCTTGAGCAGTGTTTAGTGTGCGGGACTGATGGAGAGGCCGTGTACGTCCACAGACAACTTCCTGTTTGATTGCTGACGCAAAATATGTATGAAAGAGATTGCTTGGAATATTTTTATATACTAAAGTTCTTTGTTCAGTTGTTAGAAACTGCACAAGATTGAGTTAAGTCATCAAAATGGCAATATGTACAGCCTTTCTGTGTCATATAAGTTCTGTTGAAGTACTCTGGATACAGTGATTGGGACCGTAATAAAAGTTTATCATGCGTCTTTCAGAATTAATTGACCTGTAAGTGGTGTTTTGTAAAGCCAATTTTTATTGGTTGTTAAACCTGTTGCATGGGCTTCATGTAGCTACGATGCTTGAACAAATGAATCCGGTGAGTCAATCATTCAGGGACCCATTCATAAACACTGTAAAGAGTTTACCAGGGTAAAGTTTACATGAGACTGTAAATTTTACTACCTTTTGCAGTTTAATATATCTATGTCATGTGAAGTGGAATAATGTGTGAGAGAAAAATGTAAATTTTTCATATGCTTTAAACTGTAAACCATTGCTGCTGCTGTCATATGTGCATTCATGAGTACAAGCTCAACAAAAAGCTTAAAGGGGTGGTTGATTGTGATTTCACTTTTTTAACGTTAGTTAGTGTGTAATGTTGCTGTTTGAGCATAAACAATATCTGTAAAATTACGAAGCTGAAAGTTCAATGCAAACGGAGATATCGTCTTTTAAAATTCTGGCAGTTTAATGCCTACAAAAAAAAAAGGCAGCAAAGGGGTCGAGGCCTGCGCTGCTTTTGAGAAGAGGAAGAGAAAACTAGGGGTGCACGTAAAAATCTATTCGTCATAATTTGTGTTCTACTGAAGAAACAGTAGTAAGCAGATAAACATCAAATTTTAATTTTTGGGTGAACTATCCCTTTAAGAACCTTTAAAAAAACTTGAATGGGCTATTGAAAATCCTGTATTTGCTGAACAATAATATGAAAATAGGGGGATATGTCCTGATAGTATTTGGGTGCCTTACAGTCCTGAACGTCTTTGGCCTGAATCTAAGAAAAGTATTGAAATACCTTTTGAACTTAAGTGACAACACACACACACACACACACATATTTATACTGTACAAACTGTGTTTTCTATCCCCTTACCCTAACTGCATCTCACACAAAACTTTATGCATTTTTAGATTTAAAAAAAATCTGTATAATGTATAACCTTGTTTCCTCATGGGGACCAACAAATAAATATATTATATATATTTTATATATTATATATTGCACAGGTTCTGCACGATCCTCTTCAATAATATCCTCTGCTTCTCAATCGAGCTCAAACTGATAAGCGAGATTAACGATGCCGTTGTTTACAATACAACTGGAGAACATGCCGCTGAGGTGAAGGGCGGGATGTTTAGACGCGCACTAGAGGCGGTTTAGCCAATCACAACACACTGAACTATCCCTTTAAGAACCTTTAAAAAAACTTGAATGGGCTATTGAAAATCCTGTATTTGCTGAACAATAATATGAAAATAGGGGGATATGTCCTGATAGTATTTGGGTGCCTTACAGTCCTGAAAGTCTTTGGCCTGAATCTAAGAAAAGTATTGAAATACCTTTTGAACTTAAGTGACAACACACACACACACACACATATTTATACTGTACAAACTGTGTTTTCTATCCCCTTACCCTAACTGCATCTCACACAAAACTTTATGCATTTTTAGATTTAAAAAAAATCTGTATAATGTATAACCTTGTTTCCTCATGGGGACCAACAAATAAAAATAATAAAATGGCACTGTTTACTAAGAATGAACATAGATGAGGGGCTCTGGGACGCAGCATAAATTCAATGCCACCTGTTGCAAAAAGTGTTGTTTATCATTTAAAATACATAATACATAGTACTATATTTACACAGTAAACCCCAAATAGCCTATAGCTTACTCTAAAATGACTATGTTATGCAAACCTCACACGAACCATGGTTAAGAGGTCAATTTATTATGTAACAAACTGTCCACTCACAAAAGCAGTTGACGC